GCTGTCCTGGGACAGCTGGCAAGGAACAGGCAGTGGTCAGTGAGGCAGGACCGGCTGCCCGTGCACTGCCCGGGCAGGAACAGGCCTTCCCATGGCACAGAAACGCCCCGTGGGGGCAAATGTGCCCAAACAGTGACAGACCCAGGTGTGAACAAGACAGGACACGCTCCTGCACATCCTTGCTGGGGACCAGTCTGCTTTACTGGGAGCGCTTGTGCGCGGTGCCGGGACCTGGCAGGGGAGGGAGGAGGGTGCGTGACCTTGGCGTCGGTCGTCCTTCCATCGCTGCTGCTCAGCCCCTCTGCTCCGGGTGCTGGTGCTGGCGGGGAGCGGAGGGAGCAGTTCCCTTCTAAAGGACGGCAGCTGGGGAAGGGGCAGGCCTGGGCCCCATCCAGCCCGGTCCTCTCCTCTGCTGTACCCCCACACACCACGCATGGCCGCGTGGGCTCCGTCCTTGCCAGGAGAGCTGGGGAGCAGCTGTACTGGCTGCAAACTCAGCTCGTGCGGGTTGCCTGTGCTGAGAAAGGCCAGGGAAGAGGTGCAGCCTCCCCATCCCCTGCTTCTCTTCCGAAAACACACTCTCTGACCCCATTCCGGAGGCTGCGGTTGTGCCAGGATCACCGAACGGCTGCCTGCACAGGGATGGGGATGGAGAAACCCCCCAGGACGCGCAGGGCTGCGATGGAGCCTCTGCAGGGCTTGGCTCTCCGGGGAGGGGGGTGCGCGGGGTCCACAACAGGGCGGCCCGGCTGGGACAGGCGGCCGCGGGAGCTCCAGGAGGGACGTCCCTGAGGATGGATGGCCCCGGCAGGGACACGGGGCAGCAGCAGTGCCACGGGAGCTGTGGGACGCGAGCAGCCGCCGGTTTGCAGGAGGCTTAAAAAATGCTTTGGTGTCAGACCAGTTTGGACAGAAACCAAAGGCAGGGAGAAACCACCAGAAAATTCCTGCAGAATTCTCACATTGCCCCAGCCACGTGAGTGCAGCCATGGGGCTGGCACGTGGGCAGGAGGCATGGCAGAACCTGGGGGACCACAAGGCCCTGCAAGCAGCACCCCAAGAACGGCACCCCAAGGGCTCATATCCTGGCCTGGTGCCTGGTGGAACATCAGGCAGATCCCTGCAGAGGTGAGGGCCACCAGGACTCAGTGTCCGAGAGTGGAAGAAGGAGATGAGATGCTATTTCCTCATATGGGCCTGACACAGAATGTTGGGGGTTGGCAGGGCCCTCTGGGGATCCCCCAGCCAACCCCCTGCCCAAGCAGGGTCACCCAGAGCAGGCTGCACAGCACCGCGTCCAGGCGGGGCTTGAACATCTCCAGAGAAGGAGACTCCACAGCCTCCCTGGGCAGCCTGGGCCAGGGCTCCGTCAGCCTCAGGGGGAAGAAGTTCTTCCTCGGGTTCAGCTGGAGCTTCCTCTGCTTCAGTTTGTGCCCGTTGCCCCTTGTCCTGTCGCTGGGCACCACTG